CATCGAGTGTCGGTTTTTTGTTTTGCTCAAAGGCGCATCGGTCCTTTGCCGCGTGCACTCTGGACGCTCGCGTATTTTGTTTCGTGCCTCGCCCGAGCATAATAGTAAATAAAGATCAGTGTTTGCAATTAATATCTCTCTATGGTGTAAACACCTGACTATGGAGTGCAAGTGATCCTAATTTTACAAATAGAGGACTTAGGGAAGATGCCTGGTTAAATATTAGTCACGAGATGAATATCCCGGTTCCTGATTTAAAAAGAAAATGGAGTCATTGATGGGATCTTTCAGGCGGGAAAATATCACGACAAATGAATGAATGAAGAAAACTGGCGCGCGGCCGCGTCGCGGTGACACCGAGGCTGCCGCGCCCGTTCGGGGACAATTTCCTCTCGCTGCTCGCTCTGTGTAGACGCGCCTTATTAGGCGTAAGATACATAATAAATTGTTACTATTCATCCATCAGCACCCCAAGCGCAAACTTTGACAGATCAATTCCCCTAGCACGAACCATTATCGAATTCGAATAGTTTGCAAACCGAAATGTCAATATCAATTTTTTTATGGAAACTTGAACAGCAGCGGCACAAAGTACGTAACGAGAACTAAACTTCAGTACACATTTGACAATGACATTTCGGACTCGCAAACGATACGAATTCGATATTGGTTCGTGCTAGGGGTACAGATCTGTCGAAATTTGTTCTTGGGCCACTGATCCTAGAATCAGAGTACCTACTAATCAAGATAATTACACGAGCCTAAAAGTCGATATCATTTTATCGTTTCATTACACGCTTTTATAACTACTTTCCGGAATTTGCATAAATTGGTACAAAAAATCCATGTTTTCATCAGTACGGAAAACTAACCAAATTCGATTAGCGACAGGCAGACAGACATCGGGATAAGTGAAGGTAGATGTGAAATTAACGTTTTATTATGTAGTAAGGGTGAAAAACAAGTAACTGATCACGTTGATGGTAAGCTGCCACCATAACCTCCATGCATGACCTATAGAAGGACGCTTTCAATACAGAAAATCGCTAAAGCTGTCTACCCTAAACCAATCCTGAGGAGCCCTTCTTTGCACATATTAAGGTTGGGGAAAAAGTTTCTTCGCATTTTATTTGAAAATTCAGTACCGAGGGCTGCAGGCAATCCAAGGATATATTTCCTAGCCTTAACCCCAGCCTAATTAAAAAACTATTAAATCTTAACCGAAATGACCTCCGGGTAATGCTGGGCACCATAACAGGGCACTACCTACTTAACAAGCATCTACTAACCATACGTGTTACAGATAGCTCTCTATGCAGAGGATGTCTTGAAGCAGATGAAACGGCCGCTCATGTGATCCTGGAATGCATGGGCGTAGCAGAACACCGGGCATCAATCCTCAAGAAGCCGAGGACGCTTCTAGAAGCCTGTGAGAGTCCCAGGAGACTACTGCGCTTCTGGAAGGAGTTGGGCTGGCTGAGCTAGCTAGCCCAATATACCCTGCACGCACAATGGACCAAATACGGAGTCTACGTGCGGAAACAGGGGCCCACAACAAGTAACAAGTATATGAAAATTCAAATCATTTTTTAATAAAGTCTATTTACATAAAGTATGTTGGTGCCATTTTATTCGATATTTTTTTGCCATCTTGTAGGTAGGGACATGATCCCATTGCTATAGAAATTTTGGGGCTTCTGATAAAAAAACCGCAATAAGTGGTTTTGGCAGTCCTCTCGTAATATTAACCTGACCCTGCCTAAATAATTCTGAAGAGACCCGAACAGGTGGAAATCTGAAGGTCAGGACTTTATGGCGGATACATTAACACCTCCCAGCCAAACCCTCTTAATTTTCCTGAGTGGATAAAGATGTGTGAGGACTGGCGTTATCATGATGAAAAACCACACCCCTTCTGTTGATTGATTCCGCCGCTTTCTCATCTTGCTTTAATCTCATCAGTTGTTCGCAGTAGAGTTCAGAATCGATGGTCCTGTCTAGCGGTAACAGCTCATAATGAATAATGCCCTTCCAATCCCACCATACAGACGGCATCACCTTGTTGAGAGGAAACCCTGGTTTCGCCAGTCTGTGAAGTCTGACCGGCCTGTGACCACGACCTGGAGGCCTACTCTATTTCAACGAAAGACTAAATTTCGATCGAATTTTCGCACGTTTCCTACTCTGTTTCCTTTTCATTTCGAAAATTCGTTCGTGCGAAAATAGTTTGACAATTTAATTCTACAAGCCTACGCTAATTCATATAACTTTCAAACGAAAAGTTGAATTTGACATATAATAAATAGTTCGAAATTTTAACCTCAAATTGACGAAATGAAAAGTGTTGCCTTTTCATTTTTGATTTTGATTTTTTGTTTAAATTAAACCTAAAATTACTACTACAGTATTTTTAATTAAGGCTGCTTAGCGTGAGGAATATTTATTAGTATGATAAATTTACAAGTAAATCTTATTTTTGTTTATTATTGTATTGCCAGTACTTCAAAGTGTTACACGACAAATTTAGGTTGACATACATTCGATTGCATCAACTCTACAAATTAGTCGGCTAACACTGTTGGTGGTGAGAAAAGAGGTTGTTTTAATGTAATCAAAAATGTTGTCAAAAAGAACTCACAAACATAACTCATTCCATTCGTTCACGATAATTGTCTGTGATTCCGAACTTTATGTGCGTGTTCGAAGATGAAATAGAGTAGTCACTGGCGAAATTTCGTTTAAAATTCGTTCGTTGCCGAAATTTCGTTTCGGAGAAAAAGAGTAGACCCCTGTTTCGCACGTTTTTGTCGTACATGATCTACTTTTCATCACCAGTTATTAGCTTCTTTTAGGTTCGGTTTCATTACGTCATAATAAAGAATCACAAATGAATACACGGTTCATTAGGCTTCTTTCAGTAAGCTCGTGAGGCATCCAAATGTCGAGCATTTTTTGAGTACCCAGCTTTTTTCAAATGCGCCAAAACTGTTTTGTGGTCAATTCTCAGTTCTTTAGCTGCGTCGTAACTACTGATATGCCGATCATGCTCCACTTTTTCAAAAATGGCTTCCATTTTATCCGTAACAAGGCGACTATAGCGACGTGCATCTTTGTGCTAACATCACAATTTTTTTGCAGCTTGCGTTGCTTATTTACCTTTTTTGTAGTAAAATTTTAAAATGTATTGTATCTCTTCATTAGATTCACTCATCTTGACAATAGGAAAAACAAATGAAAATCATACATGTTTCTAATTTGAATTTGGAATTATCTTCTCTAAAATTTAAACTTTTCAATGATACCAAAACCAGCCAGATACAAATGGCATAGCCAAAGAGATTTTGTTATAAGTTCACACATACTATAATGCGAAGACGTTTTCTGTAACCTATTGTTTGATTTTCAAATCTTAAATATTTAATTACATGAATCACGAATTGTATAAGAGAGTAAAAAGATTAAATAAATAAATATAAAAAATTCCACCACTCGCATCAATTAGCCTAGTCCCAAGGTAAGCACTGTAGGCTTGTGTTATGGGATACTAGGGTAATGGGTAGAATACATATGTAAGTATATTTATATAGAAATACAAATTAAACATATTAGACTGGAGTACAAATGCTCTTTTTCATCACACAAACATCTGCCCCCACCGGGATTCGAACCCGGGAACCTTCTTGAGTAGGCGACACCTAGAAACCCGGCGTATAAAACCACGGAGGTCGTCAATACCTAAATCATCCTACATTTTTTTCGGAGACAGAATCCCTTTCATTTGTATTCTGGTATTTTCCAATAAAGATGTTTTCCGTTTATTTCTTTCCTAATTTTTCATCTAATTTGTAAAACAGACCATTTAGAGCGGAAGAACATTTTTGTACGTTCCATAGGAATGTTGCTATTTTAAGACAATTGAATGATGAGTCGACAAAACAAATATTAATATTAATAAGAAATAATAATCCGGGATCCCAACTTGGTTGATACAATGGAGAGTCCAATACGAGGCTAACGTAGCCGGCGTTTTGGTCACACGAGTATGCTAGCAGCATACTAAGTACGTACTGAGTATGCTACTGTATACTCTGTTACATAAATATATCTACCATAGGATTTTTATCACTGGGGCCCGAGAAGGGTAGATGATGGGCGATTTAAAAGAATCTTTTTGCTTGCTGCAAAAAACTTCTTGGATTTTCTTCACAATAATAATAAAACTCTGAGGAAAAGCAATCAAAACCAATTTCTACTTTTTAGTAAAGTTAAAAAGATCAAAGTTCGAGGTTAAGGGCTCTTTCATGTTCAAAGATAAATAATGTAATTGAGAGAAATATGGTAATACTTTTTCCGCAAATAGGTATGTAAACCTTTTTCCTTAACGAAAATATTGTTGACCTTTGATTTTCATCGCTCATTGCGATGATTATGGGAAGAAGTGCTTTTACTGTAGGTGTAAGCTTCGTTATATAGAAAGCTTATTAGAGTTGTCATTAAAACTTTTAAGCGGTCTTCTGTTGGTAATTAGAATTTATATAATTCCATTCTGAGTTTCAAACTATTGAAATATTCTTGGTATCTTCAGTAAATCATCTCCAGAATAAATGTATCTCATAAGATTACCCTGTTTTCTTCCAGAATTTGATGTGTTCAAAATCGATTTAAGCATTAAACATTACAGTCTTATAAAGCATCGTTTACCACAAAAACTGTTGTGATAATTACATATTTTGATTGAATATTCTCAACAAACAAGTTGAGTCACAGATTGATAAGTACAACATCACCACAAAATTAAACACCTCGTGAACTTGCGAGTTGAGCAGTGTCAAATTATTGATTTATTTTGTTGATTTACGTCTGCTTATCTCCCGCTCTCGGAACAACCGACGAAACTTAACGTTAACATGAAAAAAAAAAACAAATTGTGACGTCTTCCCTCGGTGCGTTTGGCGAACAATATCGTTGGACCTTCACGCCACATCCACAATGATACTCACTCTTCTGAATGTTGTGATATATTGTCCTTGTCCTTGTGAGCCTGTCCGGAGCTGCACGAGTTGCCCATCGTCGCGGGGCTGCGCAATCCTTAACAGCATACGTACACTAAACACTGGACCACATGCACTGATGGGGCGTACGGTACGCCCAGTAATACATGGCCCGGCTCGAGTGTCGCGGGCGGCACACGCGACGCGATACACGTGTGGCCCGCGCGGGAGACGGCCGCGGAATAATCGATGTTTGCGCGTCCAGAGACCCCGCCCCGTCCCCTCTCGCCCCGCACCCCCGCAACTCCCGCACGCCGCGCGCAATTCCCCGATTTTCGTGCGAAGCGGAGCTTTTCCGAGCGCCAACGCTTTGGGCGGGAAAACGGCATTGACACGAACAACTTTTCTAATTTTTTTTTTACTTTTTAAGTGTTGATAACGGGGCTGTGTATGTTTATTGCATTTGTGTTGTAAATCTGATGTTGGTAATGCGTAGCGTAACATCAGATGGAATGGTTTAGGTCTTTTAAGGTTTAATAACCACCTCCGTTTTTTTCCTTCGGTTGAAAATATTATGAACTTTAACTGTAAACACAATTTTTGAAGTAAACCTTATATTGGAATCTAAACCACTTTTAAAAGAAAACTTTTCATGTGAAAATTATTTTTCTGTATTAGTTATTATTTTCATACTTATCTTTTTCGTTTAAAATGATGAAAGTTTCTTCTGTTTTCTAGTTTCTAGTAGAAAAAACAGCAAATTCTGGAATTAAGGCTTAGGTTTCTGCATAGAAAGTATCAATTTTAAATGTTTTGTTATTTTGCTCTATAAAAATGAATGAAATTTATAGTTCGATTTGGCTAGCTTCACCCTGGCTTCGTATCCTTCATATCTTTCAATTTTCCTTAGAGTTTCTGGTACTTGCTATGCGTTTTGGTACCAAAAAAAATTCTTAGTTAAGCTTATTGACCTTATTTTGAAATGATAAACTATCAGTGAAAACTATGAGAAAAATACTGTTTCATTTCATTAGGTACTATTTCAAGAAGCACCATTTAAATAAACAAAACTGCTGAAAAGCTGTTATGAATACTTCTCATATACTTTAAAAAATTTAGGAATTACCTACGACTTAAAATACTGAACAAAAAAATTTTTTTTTACGTCTGTATATGACTTAATGCCTATCTTTTGTTATAAATAATATACATATAAAAATATATATTTCATTTACATTTATTATAACTAATCGACGAAATATTTTACATTAAACTTTTTACAATAGTCAATTTCAGATGTGCATTAATATATCATTAGGAATGTTGATAAATTATGTAATTATTATTATCAGACTATTATCATTTTTTTAAATATTAATTAAATCAACATTGTCTGCATTATTAATTACAGTGAAAGGTGGTTTATGGTAACGTAGATACGTGGTTCACGAATCTTGAAAATACCACATCAATGGTTGTACCATACCTAGTTGTCCCCATTGCTCTATCAGAAACAATATCTAAATTCAGTTCAGATTTTAAAAATTTAATTAATGTCAATCCGTCATCTTTGTTTGTCAAGGTTGCGCGACATAGTATGCGCACCAAAAACGTAACGAGGTCATTCATCGATAGATTTTACTCCTCACATTTTTCTCATCGAATGCAAATCGCTTCTTAACTTTTTTTTTTATTTTTTATTATTGTGTTTTTATTTGTTTCTTAAGCACTTCTCATATTAATAAATAAATTAATCACATAAATAGTACAAAGGTGGCTTGCTCTGTTCATGTAGTTTTGTGAGTGGAGGTTTAGTGTCTTGTAGAACAGGTTTATCCTATTGCATTGCAAGCACCAGTCTTCACATTAAGTAATGAAATATTGTAATTAAGCACTTTATTGTAGATGTTTCTTTTTTCTACATACGTGAAGAAATAAATAAAGAATTTATTATTATTATTATTATTAATTCAAAAGGATTTATTACAATTAACTGCGTATATTTTTCTAAAACTTGCAGACAAATAAGTTCATTACATTTATATTCAGTACATTTTAATAAATAAATGAAAATGAAAAATATAAAAACAAATGAAAAAATAGGCTGACTTTATAATTTAATATGTCTAGTTTTCAAAACACCCCTTTTTTATTGATTTAGTGTCTAACTTGGGTGATAAGAGCGATTTTATATTGTAAAATCGTCACATAGCGGCCTATCGGGAGTAAAGCACTCCCACACGCTTACGCGTTGTGAGGCGTGCAATAAATAATCTCATTATTTTTCGTGCAAAGAAACTTTTGTATCCACTCAACTATACTACATCAAAAGGGTCCAAACAAACTTTGTTTTAAAAAAGTAAACTTCGTTCGTTTGTCTTTAGCAGACAGCCATAGAGTAACGCAACCGACGCGGCCAGGAGGGGAAAAGACATTCACAGCGTTTCCCTCTGTTGATTTTACCCCGCTGTTGTGCCAGCTCAAAAACAAAACTAGTCGCACGTCGGATATTTCACTAGACTGAGTCAAGTTTTATATTACTTTTCTCTATGGTCAAGTCGCGCGAGTGTAGAGATCAAAAATGCCAAAATGTTATGTAATTTGCAGTAAAACATATCTGGAATATTAAACTTACAAAGTTGGAAGGATGGAAGTTAACGAAATTTCACATATAAGTAGAATTACTAACATATTATTTCTATTCAAACACTTTTAAACAAAAAATTCATATTATTTTGTTAAAATTCAAGCGCCGGACTTGTTTGACAAAACAACCGACTCATCAGTACAAATTTCAGATCTGTCAATAAAAAATCTTAAGTTTCATCTACGTCCGATTTAGCGCTGTATTTTTTAAAAAATGTGAGTGTCGTAATTACAATCTCGTTTTTGCGAAAGTATGTTGGACTGAATTTGTGTGAATATTCCTCCCCTCGCAAAAAGCGGCAGAATGATTTCAGTAGTATTATGTCATTATTAATAACATTGGTATGGCGAGCTGGCAATGGAAGTTCGGGAACGGGCGAGTGTGCAGACCGTTGCAAAAAAAAAACAAACGCGCTATGACATTTTACGACAATTTATTTTCAGAATAAAAACGCTAATGCTTTACATTTTATGGGATTATTATTAAATTAAAAGATTAGAAAAATCACAAGTTACGAATTCATTGCTAAGGAAGTGACAGAACGTTTTGACAGCCAGCCCCCGTAGCATGAGCAACACAATTTGTATTATATCACTTTTTTATCGCGTGTTACTGTCAAATTCCATAGTAATTTGACAATTGAGCGTGATAAAAAAGAGCTAGCTATATATCATATCGCGGTGGTCATGCTAGGGGGGGCAGAGACAGCTATTCTTAAAAAATTGACACTATGTAAGGCTTATGCCTTTTAGCTTATACAGCCAATTTATATTTATAATGGAATGAATAGAATAAATAATATTTCTATCAATTATGGCTACTCCCCTCCTAGCCGCGTCGGCTGTGTTGCTCTATGCAGTCAGCATACGACCAACACGACACTGGCAGCGCAAATTCGAAATTGGAATATATTAATAAATAGTATGGTACTCTTTGCTCAGTACACTTTTTTGTTTTCCAACTGTCTATTCACAACAAGTGGTATCTGAAAGTGTGGGCGAACAATCGTAATATTTTCTCACTTTTTTTTAATAATTTCCTGAAGTTAGTAAATTTTCACAGCCATTTCCGTGTACAAACACAATGCCAAGGTGTTTTTATAACTCTGTGCGACAAATAAAACATAATTTCATACACGAAACAGGTATATTTTCCAAAGAGAGTGAGTACCTATCTACTTTGCACCCGTGCTTTGCACAACTATAATATATGCAGAATATCCTCTGTCTTACAATTGTAGCTTAAATACTGTATATGAAATTTTCTTGAATTTTACTGTTTACAATACAATACAATACAATACAATACAAAACTCTTTATTTTTACACCACAGAAAACATAAAACATGAAGTACATAATTAAAGAATACAGTGTAATAATGGGCGGTCTTATCGCTAAGAGCGATCTCTTCCAGACAACCTTAGGATGGAGAGGACAGGAAAGAAGCTGGAGAGACGGCGGTGTAATTACTACAAAACAATATAAAATCATTCTAACAAATATAATCAAAATAAGTATATAAAACAATACATACATATAATTATATACCTACAAGAATACATACATAGTCATATACATAAATATATATACATACATATATATAAATATATACACAAATACATACATAATTATGTCTAATTCATTCAGCTTAGATCAACAAAAATGGAAGGGTTACAAGGACATATAGTGAGATCTAACAAGGTTTTTGAAAATGTGGAGTGATTTTGCACGTCTTATGGAAACTGGAAGAGCATTCCATAGACGAACGGCTTGTACTGCGAAAGAACGGCCATAAAAAGTTGTAGAGTGAACAGGAGTAATGAGAGCGAGATTTTCTGATGACCTAAGGGACAATGTATTCGAAGTGTGAAGGAAATTAAAACATTCCTTAAGATAGCGTGGGGACAAAGGATTGAACAGTATGTTATACAGAAGAGTAAGGATGTGCGTATTCCGGCGAAGGCGAATAGGTATATTTGCGCAGGCCAAATATGAATCGAATACAGAAGTTCTGAAGCCGCTCAAGTTTATCAAGCTGGTCCTCCGTGAGATCTAGATAGCAGACGTCAGCATAATCGAGAATAGGAAGCAACAGAGTCTGTGCTAGGGAAATTTTACTAAAGTTTACTTGTTAAATTGAGAAAATTATTGAATGAAACCATAAGCTTTTGTATTTAAAGTCATAATTTAACATGTTATCATGTTTTCTTATTATTCTCAACGAAAATGAATGAAAATCATGCATTGTTTAGTTAATTTTCGACTTGTTTTGCCTTCCAGTTTTCATAATTTTCTCAACCAGAAGTTATGTATATTTTCTCAACAATGAGTATATTACCCATGGACTTATGAAAGTTATTTACGATAAATCTATACGATGTATCATGTTACTTCTCTTTTAAGGTTCCGTACCGCAAAAGGAAAAATGGAACCCTTTTAAGATCACTTTGTTGTCCGTATGTCCGCCCGTCTGTCTGTCTGTCAAGACCCTTTATCTCGGGAATGCGTAGAGGTATTAAATTAAAATTAAGGGTCATATATTGATGTCTTACATCCTTTAAAGATGAGGAAAAATTAAACTTTTAAGCTACCTTAAAAAAGTTACAGCTGTTTATCTCGATCGTAACTTCGCACGTTTCTTACTAAGTTTGTTATTTGTTTCTGAATTATAATAGTATACGTACTGAGGAGCTCCATGGCGCAAGTGGTTAGCGCGTTCGGCTGCGATCGTTAAAGTTAAGCAACTTTCGCTGTGGTCGGTCATTGGATGGGTGACCAAAAATTTAGTATCTCGAGCTCCTCCGTGCTTCAGGAGGCACGTTAAGCCGTTGGTCTCGGCTGCATCTGCAGTCGTTAGCACCTACCAATCCGCACTGGGTCCGCGTGGTGGGTCATGGCCCAAACTCCCTATTCTATCCATAGGGAAGGCCTGTGCCCCAGCAGTGAAGACATTAATAGGCTGATGAAGATGATGATGATACGTTCATCTGTTCAAAATATATTGAGGTTTAGATTCACTGAGCCTACTCAAACAAAAATTGAATTTGTTTGTCGTTACAATTAAGTATAACTTTCAATTGACGAATACATATTTCGTTTTATCTTCGTTACTGAAAGTTCCTTTCGAGAGAGAGTACATCCACTGGTCAGTAGAGATTCGTGTTGTTTAACTTTCGGTGTGAGGTTCTCTTAGGTAGAAGAGATTTAAAAGTGGTAATGAATTTCGGATGTCCCGCTTGCATTGGACCGCCCGTGTGGGGAAGTTAGCTCTGCCTTAGACGAGATCACAGTGAGAAACACATCCTTTTGGGAATATTGCGTGTCTGTTCATAATTTAGGTTCCAGAGCTACAAGTGTTAGTATCGCCGCACACGGGCCACCGACCACAACCACAAAACGCCGCCACCGGCATATTTCTTGTAGTTTTCATACATTTTATATGGATTCGCCACACAGGGTACGCCGGTGGCCGCCACACGCTGCAAATCGTCGTTGCTCGCTTCTTGTGGCCCGCACCGGCCACTTTATGCGCCGATACGAAACGCCGCCACACGTTACTCGCGCGATTCCCCACCCCTCTCTTCCTTACCTTAGTCGGCCGCTGTCGCGCGCTTCAGCCACTTTAGTAGCCGCTTCTAGCTTCTCGTGGCGGCGTTTTTGGCTGTGGCGTACACTTTTTTCACGCCTATGACGGATACTGAAAATCAGGCGGTCGATATACTAGTGTGCCATCTTTGTTTACATAAAAAAATAAAACTCTTCAAAGCTGCTCTATTACACGAAGGCAATAATGTTTTCCTATCAATTTGCAGTGGAACCAAAACCACCTCGCGTCTTCAAAACCAACTTGAAACGTCAGAAGGTCCTCTTGAAAACGAACGAGACATTGTACCACGACAAAGTGCCAATCTCAACCAGATTCTACTTACAACTGCTGAAGAGGAGCCAATTTTTGGAGCATTTCGTGACAACGGAGACATACGAATACGCTGCGGAGAGCGAGCGAGCTGTGACGTCACCGGAGTTGAGAAAACATAGTAACGCGAAAAAAGGAATAGACAAAACGAACTATAATTTAAGGTCTAGTGAAGGAAAATTGGAACGCAAAATTTGTAAGAAAATAAATGAAAAAGCTTTGACTAAAAAACGGAAAAATGTTACTGGTCGGAAAGAACCCCTAGCGCCAATTATAGAGGAAATAAAAAGTCGTGAGCCGTTAAAATGTAATCTCAACAAGGGTGGTTCAGAGATACACAAAATAGCTGAGAAATTAAAGAACATGGTCAAAGTTAACGAACAAACTGTGCTCGACAAAGAGTTGTTGACTTGCAAAGAGTCTTTTGATTACGAAAATTTTGAGATTGATGTCAAGAAGAAAGAAGATGGTCATGAAAATTCAGGTAAGTTTTTTTTTCAGTACATTAAGTTTTTCTACTTTGCTAAACTGGGGAAATGAGCTGAAGTGAAAGCCAACGCTAACTGTTGCAATTATTAATATAGTAAATCTCTAATGAGAACGAAAATCGCCTTATTAGGCAATTATTAGGCGATAACTCCCCCTAATAAATAATAATAATTGGTGAATAAACCAATATTATCTCCTATATATTTTATATATTATTTTCGAAACCCCTTCCTCCTTCTCCTTATTTTTTAAAATTTACTGTAATTAATAGTATTTTTTCAGTAATTTGTGCTTTTTATTTGTTATCAAAAAACAGATCATTTCCCAACTAGCCATTTTTATTCTTATTCTTACTCACATTTAAAATCTTAGTGTTGAAACCGAAATTATTATAAAATTACACATGCTAAAGTTATTTTACAGGAATTTCAATTTGAAATTACATTTTTATGTTTAATTTACCATACGTAATTATAAAAGTACATAAAATAGTTTTTAATGCTTTAATCGTGTTTAGAGGATTCGATCCCGGGATCGCGCTGCTCCATTCACCTATGCCTTATGCACCACCTAATGTTAAGTGGATGAACGACCTAGTGGTAAGATGTGTAGTCCGCGTACACTATTTTTTTTTAGAGTAAAGATATTGAGATCGATGGTGAAAGGGCATTGGGCCCAAACCGCACTGCGCTGAATTTACATTGGACCGAATCTGTACTACGCCGAATCCGAAGCTTAGAAACTTCGCAATAGTTTCTCATTAATATACCTTTATGAACGAAAAAATATTATCCCGAACTATTCCAAACTTTGATAAACGATAAACCCTTGGTACCTACCGGCTGCATCGTTAGCAGATCCGTACAGAGCTGCTTTCGGGCATAATTATAAAGTCTGTATCTCGCAGTGGGGATAAATCTGGAGTCAATATAATTATAACGAGCTTTATCGAGCGAGAGGAGCTCGATGGCGCAGTTGGTTAGCGCGTTCGGTTTGCGATCAAGGAAGTTAACATTCGCAATGGTCGGTTATTGGATGGGTGACCAAAATCTTATTATCTTGAGCTCCTCCGTGCTCAGGAAGGCACGTTAAGCCGTTGGTTCCGTCTGCATCTGCAGTCGTTAGCACCACCAGAGCTCCTCCGTGTTTCGGAAAGCACGATAAGCTGTTAGAACCGGCTGCATCTTCAGTCGTTAGCACCCACCAGAGCTCCTACATATTTCGGAGAGCACTTTAAGCTGTTAGACCCGGCTGCATATGCAGTCGTTAGCACCCACCAGAGCTCCTCCGTATGCCGGAAATCACGTTAAGCTGTTAGACCCGGCTGCATCTGCAGTCGTTAGCCAGTACGCATAATAACTGTGTAAAGCTGTAGGGAAGGCCTGTGTCCTCGCAGAGGGGTATACATCATTAGTCTGAAAAAAAAATTGGGTGATAAATCAATATCTTCTTGATTTGCGTAGAAGGAGGAGAATTTCCCAATGAGAGCACAGAGAGACGTATAACTCGCCCTTGCCACACTTGCTTGCACTGCGGCAAGACTTTCGACCGGCCCTGGGTGTTGAAGGGCCATTTGCGCTTGCACACCGGAGAGAGGCCATTCCCCTGCCCACATCCGCTGTGCGGCAGGACGTTTGCTGACCGGTAAGGAGAATTTGCCATAATACAAGGTAAAAAGAGGGAGTTTGACTTGAATAATGGCAAAAAAAAGTCAAACACATAACTTTAACACGAGATTTAAGAACAAGCTTGCCGTTCCATGTTTCAGACTCCAAAAATCAAGAGATTCATTTCTGGGGTGTAGTATTGTATTGTTTAATAAAGTTCCCTAAGATTTGATTGAGCTTCTACTGACCAAATTTAAATCTCAGATAAAGAATGCTCTTATGAAGAAGGGCTATTATAAAGTTGATGAGTATCTAAATGATCGTAATGCATGGACATAGTGTTTCTTGTAATTTTTTATTTGATGGGTATTAGTCATTTTTCATAACAGCAATATGTACTTATCTGATGCCGCTTCCTGTATACTAAATATAGAGTTAACTATAAAAATTATTGTAACTATATATCCATATGTTAAATGATGTAATATAAGGTGACTTACTTCAGAAGTTCTCAAACTCAGACTTCTCTGAAGTCATTTTTCAACTTGACGACTCTGTATATAACAATACAGGGAGAAAAAACAGCCCTTACTGAGTTTGTTGCCGTTTCTTCTCAGTACAAGATCTCCCGCCGTAGTTTTGCGTACCGATGGCGTAGCTTTTTGACCTTCATAAGTGCTTGTAACAGCCTAGACTGAATAAATGAGTTTGAGTTTGAAATACCCATCAGGGGAAGTAATTTTCACCTTGTAGTATACAACAGTAAAATAATACTAATTTAGTGGCGTTGTGTTTCTGTTGGTGATAAGCCTTCACTTTTGACATCTTATTATGTTAGTGGTCATATATTACGCTTGAATTGGAGCGCCCGTCAAGGGAAGAAAGTTCCATTTTACAGAAGACCACAGTAAATTAAACTACACTATTAATGGTGTTATTTTTCTGTTGGTGATACTTTTGACACATAAAACTATATTGTAAGTCAATTTCAACTCGTTTAAATTGCTATGTGGGTAGTATGAGTAGAGTCGGGCTCCACGAAATAGGGAGTTGTTCACCTCTCAGTCATGCTCGTGAACGGGTGCTGCCAGCGGAGATGAGTCTGCTCTTGCTTCATTGGATGCTATTAATCGTTGTACTAAACTTTAATCGTTCATTTTTTTTGCCTAAACAGTAGGACACGGCATTTCTCAACTTTGTTAAACCAGTTTTTTATATTATTTGCATTTGTAATGGAAAGTGACTTTATGAGTTACCTCATATTGAAGTCATTTTTCAATTTGACGACTCTGTATATAATACAGGAAGAAAAAACAGCCCTTGCTGAGTTTCTTGCCGGTTCTTCTCAGTACAAGGTCTCCCGCCGTAGATTTGCGAACCGATGGTGTAGCTTTTCGACATTCACAAGTGCTTGTAACAGCCTAGACTGAATAAACGATATTGAATTTTGATTTTTTTGAATTTTGATACTGATATATATTCACGCAGGTCTAACCTCCGCGCTCACCAGCGTACCCGGGAGCATCACTCGTGGCAGTGGCGCTGCTCAGAGTGCGGCAAGGCGTTCAGCCAGCGGCGATACCTTGAGCGACATCGAGCCGATGCCTGCAGGAAATACAAGTAACAAACACTCTTCGTCAGCCTTCATTAATGCTGTTTGGGACCAAGGGTCAGCAAAAGTACTCGGCGAATTGGGGTTCCTTGAAATGATAGAACTTCGTACTTGAACTAATTTATTCTTAAAAACCATAACATTTCAAACAGAATCTTGAACTGGTACTGAATCCTTGATCTTCTATCTATTCATATAGGAAACTACTTATAGAAAAGCACTGCAGCAATTTATACCGCGATTACAAGGACTTAACGTGACATCTATTAACCAAATAAAGAACTAAAGTTGTTATTATGTGAAACTTAGGAACTTAAACCATAGTGCGAGTAACAATTGCTACAGCGCCATCTTGCTTCTTATAAAAGAGCTATATGAACTTGAACAAATGCCACCATTGATTTTCCTTTGCACACACATATAGACCTATGCATAGAATAAAGTTACATATGAAAATGTTATCAAATTACTTTTATTATACTTTTAGGCGAAACGGACATTTATTCTAATACTTATATAGCTTCGAAGATAGCAATTGAATAAAGGTACATGTGATTTTTGTTTCCGAAGAATATAAAATCAAGAGCCTAGTGCTCTTGGATAGGCAAGAAAGCAGCCTGCGCGGCTTCAATTTTGTTACAAACTGAGACTTTTTACTAAATGTTTGATTCTATTTGTCTTATTTGCCATATTATCATAATGTGACGCGACAGGACATATAAATTTTGTGAAACAAAGTTATATCTTCACATAATATTGACACGTTTCCCAAGCATAAGGTCTGATATGCATATATAACATAAAGATGTCCGTAGTAAATTGTCACATAATCACATAAGATACTCTTAAATAACAAAATATGAGCCGTAAATGTAGTTTTTTGAAACAATAAATGCGTCATAATTTGCTTCTCAATGCTTAATATAATTGGTAAAAAAAATCAAATGATAGAAAAATACCAATACAAGTTAAAGCAAATTTTACATCTTACAAACTTCAAATCGCTCTACTGTAAAGTAGGGATTATGCAGAAGTAGCTTTATCCTATGGATAGGTCGATATACTTATTCAAAGTCAGAATAAGCAGAGCTACTAGAACCCCTGCTGGGGGTCGCCGGATCCCACGAAGCTCTTTCCGGCAGGCGAGGAAGCACTTGAAAGGTTTTTAGGGGGTGAGTTCATATTCATAATCATCAGTTTAGCTAGGGATTCAGCCAGCGTCGGTGTACCTCGAGCGGCACAGTGCAGACGCCTGCAGGAAGTACAAGTAACTTATGTGTCTATACATCATCTTCATCCGTCTTTATTAATGTCATCACTGATAGAGTACAAGCCTAGTCTATGGACTGCGCAAGAAATGTACAGCTTCTTATGAGTGTTTTATAATTTTTACTAGAAATAAATCCACGCGGACTCCACTGACCATTATGCTGCCGCGCCCCAATCCGCTTTAGTCACAATTTGACATCTAAACACTGCATGTGCACTCAATATAATATGTAATATTGTGTATATTCTATGTTATAAAGATAAAACAACGCCTTCGATGCTTTTAAAAAGAAACACAAATAGTTTAAGATTAAATAACAAATACCACGGCAACACTTTTCATTCGTAAAACTATAAAAAAAACTCAGTTTATCATGAATGTTATTACAAGTAAATAACATTCATGACAAACGATTTTTGCTTACCAAGAAAGGGACAGCAATACAGCTCAGCCGTTTGTAAAGAGGGAGAGAGAAGAAAACTCAGTCGGCTGCCAAGCGACGCAGTCTGACCGTTTCGCTCGCGCTGCGTTGAAGCAAGGTTGAAACGCACTGTACCCTTAGTACGAGTTATACAATAACGAAAACTATGATAGTTTTCATGAGCTCGTACTAAGGGTACTGATTTTTTTGTTTTCGTTTCAATACAAATAAACAGTGTTTAAATTCTATCATTAAATCATTTGCGTCTTCTTAAATTTTGAGTATATTTGGTTACTTTTAACCAAAATGGACATAGAAACATTATTTACAATTACGAAAATTATGATAGTTTTCAAGAGCTCAAACTCTTACTACGGGTACAGTTCTGTCTCGCTCGCTCGATTGAATGTTTATGTATGTGCGTGTGTGAGAGTTGCTTATGTAGTTGAGCCAGAACATATTTTATTTGATGCTAGTATGAGCGTACCGTATCTTCCCTTTTTGTTTTAATCTAAGCCTGAAATGCCTAAACGGTGTGAGTGAAATGTACGTATGTTCCAGGATGCACACACGCAACACCAAAAGCGTTGAAGCACACAGCAAACCGTCGAATACTGCAAGAGACCTGACCCACCCGGTGCCTCTATACGGTATGATCCGATCCCACGCTGACCAGAAACCTAACCCTGAGGAGTGCAATGGCGGAGATTATCTTCAAGAAGGTCCTATTGATCTGTCAGTAGGCAAGAGATGTGAAGATGAATGAATAAGTTTAAGTTTAACTGAGTTTGTGACTAATATATTTTACGATTTGAAGTATAATGAGATGTTTCTTTTGCGGTTTTCTCAATACCTTCATTCGTACCTGGTTAAAGGCAGAAATCAATATATCTTTATTCAAATTGGATGTATAGTACAACACTTTTGAATCGTCCAAACATTTTTTTCCCTACCACTCGTTATTGGACATATTTTTTAGCTGCGGAGAAAAACGAGCGAAAAGCTCCACAACATTAAAAGCATAATGTAACAACATTTACAAATTATTATGTTGTTACAACGTCAATACAATCATGATTTATTTAATATAGAAAACCTGTATGCATGTTTTATCTAGGAAAAAATGTTGATAAAAAATCTCAATCAACAAATCTGCTAATGAGCAAAGGTTTTAAGTTTTAGAGAAGTTTTCTAATTCTAATTTATTTAGTTTATACCGGGGCAGATGTTTGTGTGATGAATACGAGCATTTGTACTCCAGTCATGTATGTTTGATATGTGTTTCTATATAAATATACTTATATATGTATCAGTATATGTATTCTATCCGTTACCCTAGTATCCCATAACACAAGCCTTACAGTGCTTACTTTGGGGATAGGCTAATTGGTGTGAGTGTTGGAAATATTTATTTATTATTAGCGGCCGCCCGCGACTTCGTACGCGTGGAGTTAAAGTAGGTTTATTTCTAAAGATACATTATTAGTACATCTCTACACTTAACAGAATAACAACATTCAAATATACGTAATCAGATTACACGTTGTTACAGAATGCGTTGAAGAAATAAAGGTTCACTGCTCGTTCCCCGTAGGCGATAGCGTGATAATATGTAGCCTGTATGTTGACCCGACTTCTTAATAATATTCGTGCCAAAGGAGATTGCGCAAATTGGCCCAAATGTACAAAAAATATTGACATACACGGTAATTCTTGGCGTAATTTATAATTTAATTTACAGTCCTTAGATTTCAACGGACACCTTTGTATAATATATTTACTTTAAAAAGGACTTTTAATTTTACCGGTTTGGAAAACATACGAATCATTTTTAATGGCTATGGGTGTAGTAACATTCAGCCAAACACTGATCGAAGTTGTTTATTTAACATAAAAACAAATCTATTTTGTAAAGATCGATAAAATAAATATTTTTTTTTTATTACACTGTGGTATTAATATCCACAACTATATTATCATTTTCACTAGATGCAAATGTGCTCAGACAATTATTATATATGCCGCCATCATAAAGTCTATTGCCATACATTTTACGCCAAACAATTCCTCCATAAACACATTATAATCTGTATATATGTTAGACTTTAAGGTATCTATGTATGGGCCTACGTTCCCTGACTATAAATTAATAAATAAATAAAATTATAAGGTGTGATACACTAAAAATCTAAAATATGGTTATCTTAAAAACATAACAAAAATAATGAAGCTACTGAATATATGGCTATAGAACCTAAATCTCTTAGCTTTCTTTGGTTAACGAGAGTTTAAAAATTCTCTCTAATCTGTGACTCATTCACAATCATCATACAGTTTCTGTCACAGAGTACCTTATTATAACCGGAAATGACACCTGATTTTAAAAGGAACTCTTATGCATTTATTTATTTATTTATTCAATTTAAACATGCATTATTTATTTATTTATTCAATTTAAACATGCATTAACTTTAAAAACAGGCAACTATCTGTTAATCTACATGCTCTATAAACCTGAATCTAATCCATTATTTCGGTACTTGGCTTGATTTCCCTAGTTTACTATATAACTTATTTGTTTTTTATTATTTTAAAATGTTCAGTGTATATGGTTGTATATGGTTAATAGAAGTTCTCAGGTGTGTCCGTCAATAATATTCGTTTCTACAGTAATTTATATTTAATTTCGAATCTAGGAAACAATTTTTCATGATTATTGGTCTTTAGGCCAAACATGTATGGAAGCTGAGCAATCTCCTTTGAAGTAAATCCATGCAGTACTTTTTGAGTTTATTCCGGACATACATACAAACAGACGAGAGAAAAATTCTATAATCTATATTTTTGGCTTCGGTATCGATTGTAGATCACATCCCAAGTATTCTTTTAAAAAATATTCAATGTACAGTTTTGACATTCCTACTATTATATTATATGATGTAGGATTACTATAAATCCTACCAATATTATAAATGTGAAAGTTTGTATGTTTGTTACTCAATCACGAAAAAACTACTGAACGGATATGGATGAAATTTGGTAGGTACGCATATAGTTTATTTTTATCCTGGAAAAATGTTATGTTCCTGTGGGATTTCTAAAAAACTAAGTTAACGCGGTCTATCATTCGCCAAGCCAGTGGCCCTGATGGTATTCCTGCAATAGTTCTGAAGACCTGTGCACCTGAATTGTCTCCTGTTCTGACACGCCTCTTTCGGCTCTCCTTGGAAACTGGACAAGTGCCTAAATCCTGGCAGCTTGCTAACGTGCAACCTGTTCCCAAAAAAGGTAGTCATGCCGACCCTGCGAACTACAGACCAATATCAGTCACTTCATTACTCTGTAAGAGCATGGAACGTGTTCTGAACCACAAGATCCTAGCGTAGGTACCTAGAAGCGAATAACCTCCTCAGTGATCGACAATACGGATTTCGTCGAAATCGGTCCACTGGGGATCTTATAGTGTACGCTACTCACATTTGGAGTGAATTGAGAGAAGAATTGAGGCCATTGAGAAGCACAAGCGCTGGCCGTGTCTCTCGATATCTCGAAGGCTTTCGACATGGTTTGGCATGATGGCCTTATAAGCAAGCTTCCTTCGTATGGCTTGCCCACTGCACTATGCGCCTGGATATCGGATTTCCTGCGTGATCGGTCTATAAGAGTAGTTATAGATGGCTGCCAATCACATCGAAAGACTGTTAATGCCGGAGTTCCGCAGGGGTCGGTACTCTCTGCAACTCTTTTTTTGCTCCATATCAACGATCTGCTTAAACCCGGTACCTTTGGGTATACAGACGATAGCACAGTCGTAGAGAGCTATATATCGAATGTGCGTGCCAGTGCGGCCGAAGTTCAATCACTCCGAGAAGCCATGGTCAACCGCTTAAACTTGTCCCTTCAGGCAGTCTCCGATTAGGGAGATGCCAATCTAGTCAAGTTTAATGCTTGTAAGACTCAGGCGTGTCTGTTCTCCGCTAAAAAGAGGGCGTTTCAACTGGCCCCTTCTTTCCGTGGTGTAACCGTGCCGGTAACCGAACAGCTCGAGCTTCTAGGTTTAACTCTCACCTCAACTCTCAACTTCGGTACCTACATTGAGTCCAGAGCTCAACTGGCTGCAAAAAAGCTTGGCGTCCTCGCAAAGGTGCGGAAGTACTTTACACCGGAACAGATGCTCACCTTGTACAAGCGCAAGTTCGCTCGTGCATGGAGTACTGTTCGCACCTTTGGGATGGTTCTGCAAAATATCAGCTGGAGTCTCTGGAAGCTCATCGGTGACGACAAATTATTCGAGAGTAGACTCCAAAGTCTTGAACACAGGCGAAAAGTTGCTTTTTTCTTTATCGGTTTTTTACCGGTTACATTTCGGAGAGTGTGCCTCGGAGTTACACAAATTCCACCTTCACCTTTTTACCACAGAACCACCAGAGAGACGGCAAAACGCCACAGATATACCGTACAGGTCCCGCAAACTCATACTAAACGGTTTGCTTCCACCTATATCGTCAGAACAGCTAGGTTGTGGAACTCTTTGTCGGAATCTTTGTTTCCAGTCACCTACAATCTGGGGCTCTTCAAGTCGCGAGTGAATCGATTTCTTCTAGGCAAGCGCGTACCACCTTAGGCTGCTACGTCGCTCTTCATCAGTCGCGTGGCTGTCAAGCGTAAGCCTATTTACTGTAAAAAAAAAAAAAAGTCGTGGCCGGTCGCTACTTATAAAGAAGTCATCACATCATCACATCACCAGCCTATTAACCGCGCTGCTGGGACACAGGTCTTCCTTATGGATTTAATTGGGAGATTTGGGACATGATCCACCACGCGGACCCAGTGCGGATTGGTAGGTGCTAACGACTGCAAATGCAGCCGGGACCAACGGCTTATCGTGCCTTCCGAAGCACGGAGGAGCTCGATATACCTAGTATATTATTTGCGCATACTTTATTTAAAATTTTGTATTTTAGGTTTAGAGGTCAAAAGTGAAAATTGAAACGTCAAATTACATTTGATATGGTTTCTTTATATAATCAATCAAATAAACACAGTTTGTACAATATCGGATTCCACAAATGGTCACACGTTTTCACAAGGATAACAGAAAAAATAACTTTAAACTAGTTACGGTAGCTGAGGAATAAAAAAAAATATAATGCTCAAAATCGGTACACTTCCCAAAATAATATATTTAACATACATTTCAAATTAAGGTACGGACTCGATGTAGTTAGTTAAAAAAGGCTTAAAACGTGACAATCATAAGAATTTTGCTCATTAAACATATAGCTAACAACGGTATGATTAAAGTTTCCATTGCACAATATATCAATTTCGTTGGGCACAATACAACACAAGCATATACATATACATAAGGTAGTTTTTAAGTTGTTGTAATTTAATCTTCTATATATATTGTAAAACTGTAAATAAAATTTCAGTTGTTGATTAATATAATTAGGTAGACACAATCATAAATATTCCTACCTACCAATCACATTGAATACAAATTATAAATACTAAAAAAAATATTACAAAGTTTCACACACTAAGCCAGCGAGCTATAAAAAATACATTGCGGCCATATTGTGGCCAACTATGTTGTTGTTACATTTGACCCTAGGGACCAGAAATTTGTGGACAGAACAGACAAGTTGTCAGGATAATTATAGGAAAACCGTATAGTGCAATTCTATGAAGATTACAAATAGAACGGTTTCAAATTCTTGAGAACGTCGAATAAATAGGGATGATGACTAATTTTTTTTCTTCGTTTATCAGGTAGATTATCAAAAAGTTTTGGACACGTATTTTTTCTTTTTTCACATAATATAAACATTGCAGAGATATATTGATTTGAAAAGTCGCATGACGTCACGTCTGAGTACACTTTTATGTGAAAATTCACTCAAAAGTGACGTCACGAGCCCCTACTCCCAAACTTTGACGCGCTATAACTTTGTCATTTTTTGGTTGATTGCCCAAAGAAAAAATACGTGTCCATTATTTTTTGATCATCTAACTGACGGACTAAATAGAATTTCGTTTACTGTACCCCGTCATCACCCCTATTGGATGTCTGATTCAACTTACAGGCTAATGAGAGTGCAGCCGTTAATGTTCCAATAATTTATTATATCACTGGAATAGGGTATTTGACAAGTTCTAGACTATGATCTGACATTATTTACTTCGGTTTATGGAGTCCATAAAAAGTAGCTATTTACAGTTTTGTTCTGTAATTCAGTAAAAAAAAACTAAATAAAAATTTAATTTTCAAGTTGCCGCGAAAACGTTTCTCTGGTCATCATGGCGTCTCACTAGTGTGAGACGTTACACGACTGTCATTTCAAAATAATCATTTCTATTTAATGATTTTTATAGAAAGTTATTAATTATTTCTTCTTTCAGAATAGTTATATAGCTGCTAATATTGATGCCAACAATTGGTACATTATTTTTCATACTGTCAAATAACCTATTCAATTTATTGCTAATTCATAAGGCAAATGTTATCTTATTTAAATGGTGTTTCCATAACATATTAAGCTAACTTAGTTTATATCTAAATTGCAAAAGAGTAAAGTTGATTTTCCCAAATTTTGCTATCAAACTCAGTGCAAGCAAGCAAAATGTTTATAAATATAATTTGTTTTATTATATATTTGTTATTTAAACAATTCAGTGCTACATTTGAAAACTTAGATAAGTGCTTATGTCCACACGACTGAAGTGAAACTTCTTTAGCTCCATCTGTGTATATATATATATATATATATGTGTGTACAATATGTATGTATAAGTATACCTAATACATAATAAATAAATATTTCCAACACTCACACCAATTAGCCTAGCCCCAAAGTAAGCA